ATTTATTTTGGGTTCTATGGAGTCGCCACCGATATTTTTACCATAAACATCGGAAAAGGGGTTTAAAAAGGCGTTGGTTTTCGAAAACCAACTTTGGTCATTAGAACCAGAGTTGGGTAAGGGAGTTGGTTACGTGCAAAAGGAGTATTAGTCCCTTTGCGACGCCCCTTTCGGGTTCCCCATGATAGGCCGGCTTATTTTTATTGATAAACTAGAAAAACGCACTTTTGCCCTTTTTATTCTGCGGAATTTAAAAGTGTGACTACATGGCCCTACTGTCTACTGCATAATTTAAGATAAAAGCGGTAAAGGTGGAAAGAGAGAATTTGAACCTCCGAAGCACGCTTTTTATATTAATTCTCTGGAAAAATAGGGTGCTTTATGGCAGCCCTTCGCTCTACAAGACGTCGGAAACCTCTCGAACGCCGAAAATCACTCTTGAAAACACTCAGAAACTCCGGAAATGCGTCGGAGGGATTCTAGAGAGAAGTTTTAGAGAGAAGGGAGAGCTATGCAGCTCGTGGTGTGTGGAAATGAGGGGGGAGAGCCCCTATTTATAGGTTTCCGCGCTGTCAGGTGGCGAGACCGCCGGTCTCGTCTGACAGAAACGAGACCGCCGTCTCGCACAACGAGACCGCCGTCTCGTTTGACAGAAGCAATGAGACCGCCGTCTCGTACAACGAGACCGCCGTCTCGTTTTGCATAAGCAACGAGACACCGGTCTGGGTGAACGAGAACCCGGTCTCGTTTTCGTCGTCAACGAGACCCCGGTCTGGGTGAACGAGACCCCGGTCTCGTTTTCGTTGGCAACGAGACCCCGGTCTGGGTGAACGAGACCCCGGTCTCGTTTTCGTTGGCAACGAGACCCCGGTCTGGGTGAACGAGACCCCGGTCTCGTTGGAGCATCCTTCGCTCAAGCGAGTACATGTGAGTACATCGGTCGCTTGAGCGAGACTCGACCCGGAAGTCCCCTTTGGTGGCAGCATCCGTCGCTCAAGCGAGTACACCAGTCGCTTGAGCGAGATTCGACCTGGAAGTCCCCCTTCCACGCGAGAAACTTTATTTTGGGCCAAAAAACCTTCCTATCTTGGTACGGGAGCCTAATAGTCTCTCCTAGTGGCTTGTTAGGCTTCGGGCGTCCTCGAATAGGGGATCTTCTGACTTTATTTGGAGCCCGGGCAAGATTTGGGGTCTACAGTCATCATCAAATAACTCAGAAAAAATAAGAGCTTCCAGAAGTCAAGGCTCCAATCGCTGCCCTTCTACCCAATAAAGGAAGGGCATAATGTCATCTTCAAGAAAATCATTGCCTACTCCCAGAGGCAAACAAAAATAACTCCCCACGGCTCAGCATCACCCCCACTTGAGTCATCAAGCACACTCACCCAAGGTCTCCTCCACACTCCCCAATGGAGAATAAAGGCTTCAAGAGCCCATCATCATCAATAATCAAAAGAGTCCAATCTCCATACCATCAAGTTTTCAACAAAAGAAGAATCAGAAATTCCCATCACAGGGTCAGGTCAGCTCACATCAACACCAAAATCAGATCCCCAGGAAGTCAGCCAATTCCCTGATGGATCACCAAAAAGAAAAGCCTTCATCCCCAGCGAATGCCCAAGAAAAAAAGGCCATGGAATAATTTTAGCGTCCCTTATCTCTTCTGTCGGACTGCGTGGTTACTTAGCTTACAAAGAACCTGAAACCAGGCTAGCTAAAAGGCAGACTATCCGAGGTAAGGGTGTTTATTATGAAAATATTTTTGAGGTTTCATTATATATTTTTTTTGTTGTTGTATGATTATGATATGCAACAAACAAATGCAACAAACAAATGCAACAAACGAATGCACAAACAATTCACTCATCCGCGAACAGAGTGATATTTAATTACGAGGTAGGGGTTTCCTGCAGAAGAGTGCATCGGTAAAGGTAGGTTCCAACTATTCTCACCAAGGTCAGGCCCCCAAGGTGCCCCCATTATAGGGATCCTTCAATCTCCCAGTCTTCGAACCATGCACGGATGTTCGTGTCGACGTTCTTAGACAGAGAAAAAGAAGGTTATCACCTTGAGTGGTGGTTTCCGACAACGACCTACTAGCAGTATGGCCATTACCATGGTCGGTCGTACCTGCCACTCACTCCCTATGTGTATTCTCTCTTGCCCACGGGTATAGAGGGACTGTAGTGTGCAAGGGTTGTGTACAGTTTATTTCAGACAATTGCAGAAAATAAGCACACAACAATTATTAAAGCCAAACAGTAAAGCATGTTATAAAAGCAAGAAAGGGTAAAAGCGTAATTTTTAGTTTTTGTTTCCTAAACTAGTCCATCACTAAATGGGATCAACTCTCTAGCTCCCCTAGTGGAGTCGCCATCTATCGCCGCCGTCAGATGAGGCGGTCAGAGCGACGCGATGGTTTTTGATATGACTCGCATTTTCTTCGAAAGAAATGGTTCAACGTCTTTAGGTCGTCCGATAACCGGGCTGGACTTAAAGGCGAGGTTTTCAAATAGGTTCGAGGAGTCGCCATCAGCGTTTTAACCTTAAACACTGAAAAAGGTAAAAAAGAAAAAGGCAGTGTATTAGAAAAAACCAACTTTGGCCATTACAACCAAAGTCGGGTAAAGGAGTTAGTTACGTGTGGGGAAGGTGTTAGCACCCCCACAACGCCCCTTTCGGGTTCCCTATGATGGACTAACTTAGAAAATAAACACTTAAAGAAATTACATTTTTACCCTATTATTTGATCTACTTGTAGAATTTAAATAGCTACATGGCTCTATTATCTAATGCACACAAAGAAAGCAATAAAGAAAACAGTAAAAAAAAAAGATAGAGAAGGAACCTCCGAAGCGAGCTTTATATTAACTCTTTGAAAACGTGAGGACGCTTTTTGGCAGTCCCCGCACTTTACAAACACGCTCCTCCCACGAAATAAAGAAAAGTCACTCTACTGAGGGTCGGATGTCTCAAAAAGAGACTTCCTTAACCGATTTCAACCTTAACGGAAATCGGAAAGCTCCCTCGAACCCCGGAATAATGCTCAGGGTCACTCTCAAGTGCCAAAAGGCTTCCAAGAGAGTGGAGGAGTGTGAAAATGCAAAAATAAGAATGAATGAGTATGACAAATAAAATGATGCATGCAAATATAATATTAAGAAGAATGGTTGAGATATTATTATTATCTTAATGCAAAATATGTAACATGAAAAAGTAATAAAAGTGGTGGATATTGATAAAGATGCCCCATAGTGTCCTAAGAGGTATTGATATGTATCTTATAAGTTTGATGGGTTTTTTCTAGCAAGTGAGTCTTATCAAAAGGTAGTCAAATATCTAAAGCTCTCTTGGCCTATAAAGCTTAGTACTCATCTCAGTTAGTGACTACAATTGGAAGTACATCCAAGATGTAGACACTTACCAAAGAGTCATGCTCTAGATAAGACTTTTATGATAACTAGATTGAAATACATCCAAAATGACATCACTAATTGTCTTTCATTCCCTAGGTTACACTCAAATCGGGTATAGAACCTCACTCATAAGTGTGTGAACAAATGTGAGTGTAGTGTATGAAAGGGCTAGTCCTAAACTACTACATGCAAAACAAGCATAAAAATACACAATAGGAACATGTCTTCTATCCTAGGATTTTATTGAGGCAAAGATATTTATAATGAATAAGGGAAGATAAAAATCACATAAACACATATAAATAAAGCTAGAAAAGGAGAGATTCAACAAATCATGAAAATATTTTTTAGATTTTTTTACATCTAATTATGAGAGGCTTAACTTAGAGTCCCCAGTGGAGTCAACATCTGTCGCAACCAAAAATCGCGACTAGACGATAAAAAATAAGTTTCAAAATGCAAAAAAATAATGGAGTCACCACCGATATATATATTTTAGGGAAAATATCGAAAAGAACCTTTAAAAGAAAAAAATAATGGTCTGCAAAACAAAAGTTGGATTTGAAAGTCAATTATGTGTAAGGAATGTATTAGCATTGTACAACATTCGTTCTAGAAAATGGTTACCTTTAATTATATGTGAAAAAGTTAAATGTCTTAAAATTATTTTATCCCTCTAAATTATATATCCATTAAATGTTACTACTAAAAATAATAGATTATATATTTAATAACCCTAATAGCAATATATTTAATAATTCAATAAAATAATATTCAAGGAAAGAAAATGATAATTATTAAAATTTAATTGTCAATATACTAATAACGATATATTAATATAAATCTTTTTTTTTAAAGAAGTAAAATCATTTTTATTTAAAATTTATATAATAAAAAATAATAATAAATTATCTCTTAGACCTATTACTATTTGTAAATTGTTTGTTATGTTGTCTCAAGTTTCACAAAACAAAACAAACCAACAAAAACAAAAAATTAAAAAATCATCAAACCCAATAACTCATAAAAATAAAAATCATTTTCAATTTGTTTTACTCTTTGAAGTCTGTATTTGTTATTTTCACTCACAAACCCAAATAGAACTATTTTTTCTGAATCTAACTTGGACTATCGACCCAAAAGTCTCATAGTAATCCTTTAGGCCAAAAAATTAATTTGCTTTACTATTCAAAGCCTGTTTTTCCTATTTCCACTCCCAGACAAATCTTGGACCATAACTCTCTTAAACCCACGTCGCATATCCATTTTAAACTCATAACTTAACCTAACCCTAATACTGGAGGGAAAGGGAGCGTCGTGTGAGATGAGAGTGAAGGGGAGGAACAGTGCGCGATGCGGGTTGGAGAGGAAGCATAGTGATTTAGGGCTTGGGGGCGACAACGATGAGGTTAGGATAAGAGGCACAACTAGGTTGTAGTGGCATGCAGTTGTGGTGAGGCAGACTTGGTGAAGGCGGGGTAGTGGTGATCTTGGAGGTGGAGAGGGTTGCGGGGTGACCCGCGGTGAGGTGGGGTTGGGCTAGATTATAGGATCGAGGGTGGCTAGCCGTGAGGGTTGGGTGGTTCAAATGGTGGTCCAGTGAGGGATTAAGGTGGTTAGGGTGAGGCAAAGGAGAGGGATGACAAGATGGGATTGCGGCCAAAAAATGGAAAGGAATGGATGAGGTGGTTCCCAATAGAGGAGGATTAGCTCATGATGGGCTGCGAGGGTTGTGATAGTGTGAGGAGAGAAGCGGTGCTGCGAGCTCACAGTGGTGGGCACTGGTGGCGAAAGAGTGTATTCTTATTTTTGTTTCTAATTTTTATTAGTTTTCTTTCAAATATGTACAACAAATATTATAGTAATAAATACTACATAAATATTACATGGAGAGTGAACCTTGTTAGACAAATGACATTTAGAGTGAACCTTGTTAGACAAATGATATTTAGAGTGGGTGAATAGATGCACAAATTAAAATAAATATCAATTTAAAAAATTAGTTGTGAGTCAATAATTTGCTTGAACACAGATAAAGTAGAAGCAATAATATAATCAGGAAAGGAGAAAGAGATAAGGGAAAGAGAAGAGCACACAGTGATTTATACTGGTTCGGGTATAGTCAATCTTACAGTCAGTTCTCAGTCAACTCTTAACACAAGAGTGACTCTTAATTCACTATCTTTTAAATTCAGTTTACAAATTACAATCAACTCAGCAGAAGAACTAGTAAAAGTAAATTAATTAAAAAGACAATCACTTCCCCACTAAGGATGAACACCTCTCTAGAATCTCACTAGGGATGAACACCTCCTCTGAACAAATCAAAGGATGAAAAACACCTCCTTAGAATCTCACTAAGGATGAACACTTCCCTAGAATCCCACTAGGGATGAACACCTACTCTGAACAAATCAAAGGATGAAAAACACCTCCTTAGAATCACACTAAGGATGAACTCCTCCCTAGAATCACACTAGGGATGAAAAACATCTCCTTTTCCACCAATGCAAAAAGGATGCAGGTAATAAAAATAAAAACAGACACACCTGAGTAATGGAGACAACAAATTGTAGAAGCCTGTAGAATGTCAATCTCCAAGAATAAGTGTGATTAACAATGAAAGCACAGAAGACAATAGAGAAGAGGGTTTTCTTAAAAGGTGTAAAATATCTTTGTTGTCTTGCTCAAAATTCTTTTCTCAAAACTGATTGAATGTAAATTGTATTTTCGAATTCTGTAATTGTGTGTTTTTTATTTTTCATCAAAACTTAATTAAATAGAAAAGTAGCATCAGAAAATGGTCGTTGGACATTAATAATATCATAGAGAAAATCAGGATGTATTCAAAAACATTTATTCTTTAAAACGAATATATTTTTCAAATTTGAATTGTCATAATTGATTATATTACCAGTATAATCAATTATGACAGAGAAAATCATTTTTCCATTTCTGATGCATCATAATTGATTATGACAGAGAAAAATATCATGTTATGAATTTTATCACACTTGTGTTTTTGAGGCTTATGCATAATATTACTTTATCAACTTGTACCTCCATATCCAGTATTCTAAGACTCTATCTAGTCTTCAAGAATCATCTTGGGCTTGCTTGAATCATCATCTTTATCAAAAACATATCTTGGGCATGTAGGGAAATGTTTCACATTTTCACCAACGTCATAAATTCAGTTTGTCCTTAATTCATCTTCAATGGTGTTGACTTGAATGTAGTTTACTTGAATCATCATCAAAATCATCTCTTGGGAATGTAGGGACATTTCCATCAATCTCCCCCTCATTGCTTTCAATCTCCCCCTTTTTGATGATGATAAAGAAAACACCTGAAATGAATTAAAATGTTTGACTCTATATAGTCAGCTCAAGATTAACACAGATTTGTATCAAGTGATAGAGTCTCTTAATCCCTGCCTGGATATATTAATAACAAGACTCTCCCTAACTCATATGAGTCTTAACTCCCCTTGTTTAATTTAGATAGGAAAGAATTTCACTCAGATTTTAATTCATCAAAAAATCTCCCCCTGTTTCATTGATAATCATTATAAGAAAAAATTTTCCCCTGTTTCACACAGATTAATATCATCAAAATATCTCCCTGTTTCATTGATAATTATAAAAATATATTATATGAGAAAAAAAATTTCCTCCTATTTCACACAAATTAATATCATCAAAATATCTCCCTGTTTCATTGATAATTATGAAAAATATTGCAATAGAAATTGAGAACAAATTTGCACATATTAGTACATAAATCAAGGTAGAGAAGATAATGCACTACAAAGTGTCATAGAAAAGAACATCATATTAAGGAGGCAATATCTAGGATACCCAAGACAAATGAAGAGAGAGAAAGATAAGAGCACACAGTGATTTATACTGGTTCGGGTATAGTCAACCCTACATCCAGTTCCCAGTCAACTCTTAACACAAGACTGACCCCCAATTCACTATCTTTCAAATTCAGTTTACAAATTACAATCAACTCAGCAGAAGAACCAGTAAAAAGTAAACTAATTAAAAAGACAATCACCTCCTTAGAAACCCACTAAGGATGAACACCTCCCTAGAATCTCACTAGGGATGAACACCTCCTCTGAACAAATCAAAGAATGAAAAACACCTCCTTAGAATCCCACTAAGGATGAACACCTCCCTAGAATCCCACTAGGGATGAACACCTCCTCTGAACAAATCAAAGAATGAAAAACACCTCCTTAGAATCACACTAAGGATGAACACCTCCCTAGAATCACACTAAGGATGAAAAACACCTCCTTTTCCACCAATGCAAAAAGGATAAAGGTAATAAAAATTAAAAATAGACACACCTGGGTAATGGAGACAACCAATTGTAGAATCCTGTAGAATGTCAATCTCCAAGAACAAGTGTGATTAACAATGAAAGCACAGAAGGCAGTAGAGAAGAGGGTTTTCTCAAAAGGTGTAAAATATCTTTGTTGCCTTGCTCAAAATTCTTTTCTCAAAACTGATTGAATGTAAATTGTATTTTCGAATTCTGTAATTGTGTGTTTTTGATTTTTCATCAAAACTTAATTAAATAGAAAAATAGCATCAGAAAATGGCCGTTGGACATTAATAATATCATGGAGAAAATAAAAATGTATTCAAAAACATTTATTCCTTAAAACGGATATATTTTTCAAATTTGAATTGCCATAATTGATTATATTACCATTATAATCAATTATGACAGAGAAAATCATTTTTCTATTTTTGATGCATCATAATTGATTATGACAGAGAAAAATATCATGTTATGAATTTTATCACACTTGTGCTTTGGAGGCTTATGCATAATATTACTTCATCAACTTGTACCTCCATATCCAGTATTTTAAGACTTTATCTAGTCTTTAAGAATCATCTTGGACTTGCTTGAATCATCATCTTTATCAAAAACATATCTTGGGCATGTAGGGAAATGTCTCACATTTTCACCAACTTCATAAATTCAGCTTGTCCTTAATTCATCTTGAATGGTGTTGACTTGAATGTAGTTGACTTGAATCATCATCAAAATCATCTCTTGGGAATGTAGGGACATTTCCATCAATCTCCCCCTCATTGCTTTCAAACCTATTATACAACAAAGAGTAAAAAATACTCAAAAGGAGCAACAAATATTATAGTAATAAATACTACATAAACATTACATAGAGAGTTGTCGCTGCCGTCAAAAAGAGGCGGTCGGAGTGACGCGATGGTTCTGACTTTCCAATTTTCGTGTTTTTATGGGTGGTGTTACAACGTCTTTAGGTTGTCCGATAACCGGGCTGAACCTAAGGGTGAGGTTTTTTTGAAAAGGTGTTCTTCGGTTGTCCGATAACCGGGCTAACCTAAGAATTAATTTACAGGGGTTCTTATGGAGTCGTCACCAATGTTTTTACCGGAAACATCGAAAAAGGAGGAAAAAGGCGTTGGTTTTCAAAAACCAACTTTGGTCGTTAAAACCAGAGTTGGGTAAGAGAGTTAGTTACGTGTAAGGGAAGTGTTAGTTCCCTTACAACGCCCCTTTTGGGTTCTCTATGATAGGCCAGCTATTTTATAAATGAACTTTTGAAAAGACGCTTTTACACTTTTATTCGCGGAATTAAAATGATGACTACATGACCTTAATATCTATTACACAATTTAATTATGAACAAAAAAGACAGTAAAAGAGAGGGAGAGAATGAAGAAACCTCCGAGGCAAGCTTTTGATTAATTCTCTTGAAAATAGGGTGCATTTTGGCAGCCCTTCAATCTTACAACGCCGGAAATCTCTCGAAAACTCTATAAAAAGCTCCCTAAGACACTCAGAAACTCCGAAAATGCTTCGGAGGGACTCTAGGAAGAGAATTTGAAGAAATTGTAGAAGGAAAAGTGGAAGAAATGTGTGAAATGAGGGGGGGAGCACTCACTATTTATAGGGATTCGCGTCTGTCAGGTCGAGACGACCTTCTCGTCTAACAAGGTCGAGACAGTCGTCTCGCCATTCGGGACGGCAGTCTCGACTTGCAAAAGTGGCGAGACCGCCGTCTCGTTTGGTGAGATGGCGGTATCAACTTTTCCAGTGACGAGAAGGTCTTCTTGCCAAATGGGAGGGGGGTCTTGCCATTGGCAAGTGGCGAGATGGCCGTATCGCCAAACGAGATGGCGGCCTCGACCCTTGAAGACAAAAATCCTTATTTTTGTACAGAAAATCCTTCCTACTCTAACATGGGGCCTAATAGTCTCTCCTAATGGCTTTTTAGGCTTCGTCCATCTCCAAATAGTAGGTCTTCTGCTCTTATTTTGAGGTCGGGCAAGATTTGGGGTCTACAGTTGCCCCCCTGTAGACCCCAAATCTTGCCTGGCCCCCTAATAAAGCCGAAGATCGCCCGTTTCGAAGATGATTAAGACTTTATCAAGTCCCTAGTAGCTTGTTCTAGGTTCCATTTAGGATAGAAAGGGTTTTTAGAGGCATTAAAAATCGGGAAATCCGCCGGAGACAGCAGATGGTCGTCCAGAACAGGCGGATGTGAAGCACTTGGTGGATTTGATGAAGACATAGATATAGCTTAGGTTGTGGGTGTGTAGATGATTAGGTTTTAAGTTTAAGCACTTAATCTCTTGATAGTCCATTATATTTTGTGATAAGCGCCTTAAAATGTTGCATCTCATTGAAAATCATTTTTCTGCATGAAAAACTTACATTTAAGTATTAAAAGAATAAACTAAGTTTTTTTCAAACTGTTGAAAAGGATTTT